ATGACTTTAGGATGGAAATGTGTACAATACCCTTTCTGCCCACCACTACCCTAGTTGCTCCTACTAGGGTGTTGCACCCACCACCGCCCAGCCCCCACTATCATTTGCCTCACCGCCACCCTAGCCCCGACTACCGACAACCCCATCATTGCCATATATTCTTTCACCATCGCCATCCACTCTCACCATAATCGCCATAGCCCTCACCACAATCGCCATAGCCCTCATGAGATGGGAGGAGATGAGGTAGATCGAGGTAGCTAGCCGATAAAAGGGGTTGAGAATGAACAAAAAAGAAAATGAGATTTAAAGAGAGTGGTATTTTAGGAAGAATTGGGATGAAAAAGTAGAATCGGAAGATTATTTCTTGATGAAAAATGTAACGCCCCAAAACATGGTCTAAAAGTTATTCTATTATAAAAGTATTTTAAAAACAATATTTTGACCCAATAAAGCATTATTTCTATGTTTGACAAAAAATAAAGGAATTTTTGGAGTCAATGATTTTTGTTAAGATTGACTTTTATGGATAGGTCTCGAAGAGATGAATCCAACGGTATATTTTGTGAATAAATCTGATGTACAGATTTTTAGTTATGACATTTTAAATATGTAATTTGCATAAAAATGAGATGTGGTTAAAGGTGTGAACTTTTGTAAAATGATTTATTAAAATAAATATTTAAATTGAATATATTGATTGAATATGAGAGTGATTTAAATTATATATCAATTAGTTCAATTTTGACTCTGTCAATGTCAACACCCAAAAATATGATGTTGGAAAAAGTATCACAAATAAATATAAAAATTATGTCGTTGGATAGAGTTTAACTACCTGATCACAACGGTGCAACTAGAATTCGATTCGGAGAAAGTTAGACCAAAAAGTGTATCTCGACTGGGACCAAATTAGTCCCAATTAGGAGCGGCGTGTAAATCACAGGAAACCGATTTCCGCCATTGAAGATCGGCTAAGTGACTTCCTAACTCAGCATCTACATCCTCTTATCCTACCCTTCTCTATATAAGGAATTCAATCTTCCTCAATTCTCCACCAAAACACTCGATATTTCCTTCTATACTGTTCTTTCCTGAGAGAGGAGTGCCCGGGTGTTGTCACTTTTGTGTGAGGTCGCCGGAATAGAGAGTTATCGTCGCCGGAAGTTTCACCAAAAAATTTCCAAAACCCCCATGATGCTTCGATGTAAGCCCGTAGATATATCTAATGATTAGAATGTTCGTATAGATTATTTCTACGTTCATAAATGGGCATTTGGTTGAGTTTTGTGTTTGACATGCTTGAAGAACCAAGAATCATAAACATTGAATTTGTTGTTAAAACTTCGAACTAATGATATTTAAATGATCTATGAACATTGGAGAACATTTCTATATAGTTTAATTGATGTTTGGTGGCTTAAAATGAGGTTTCGAAAATTTAACCCGAGGTCGAAGATGAAGTGTTGTTGGCTGGTTTGCAGGAATGGTCGACCGTTCTACCAAACGGTCGACCATTCTGTCACAAAGGTCGACCGTCCCTCCACTAAGGTCGACCGCTTTAAGACCAGAAGCTCCGATACCACTGTGGCAATAATGGTCGACCGTCATCTAAAAACGGTCGACCGTTCCGAACACAGACTGCTACAAAAAAATGTTATTTTTGAGTTCTAAAATCCTATTTTTGATACCAATCAATTATGATTAATATAAAGATGATTTCTTGGAATAAAAATGATGTTTTGACAACTAAGAGGGCTTTACGTGATGCATGACGGTAAGCTAGAGTGTTAACACGCGAAACTAGGCCGCTATTTGTTATAAGATGTTATGTTGATTAATGATTATGATGAATGATTATTATGATGATTATGACCTGATGAACCCACTGATTAAAATGGTTATTGATGATTAAACTATGATTTAAAATGAATAATTTGATGATTATGGAATGAGTTGTAATGTAAGGATATCTAGAAGAACTCTAAGATATACCCAGGTTGACGTTGGTTTCTAAGACTATCTAGAAGACCTCTAAGATGCCTTAGAAATAGGCCTTGCAGGTATAATTATGAATATTCGGTGGCCTAGGTTAAAACGTACGTACGGGATCTACAAACCAAACTTGAGGATCACTCGTTTGGGGATACCACCCAACCCGACAGTGAGCATTCCGCTGTTCGGTTTCTGGATGACCTTAAGCGAAGGTAAGTTTAAGATTTTTGAAAACCTCTTTTGAAAATTTGTATCTTAAACTAGTCCTAGCTTAAGAGTTAGTTAGGAGTACCTTAAACTCAAATATATTTTAAAGAATCTTAAACTAGAATTCGTTTAAGGATTGGTAAAGAGATTGGCCTTAGACTAATCATAGTTTAAGGATAATGTTGAATGCTGATGTTGAATGTTGAATGTAAATAATGAATGATGAATACTGAATATTGATTATTGAATATTTGAACTGAACATTATGTGCATGATATCAAATGATTTGATTATGATTTGAGATTCAATTTATATGGATGTTCGACACATTATATATACTTACTCAGCTTTACCATTGAGTGTGTAGTGTGTTTTATTTGCTACACGCAGGTTAATAGAAAGAATGATATGATTTGATCCTGGCGGCAGATGGGGCGAGATAGTCGGGATAGATATGACAGATTTTGAACTAATTTATTGTGATATGACAACATTTAAATTCGCTTCCGCAATATTGTTGAATACTCTGTACTGTTTATGTTATAAAAATTTATTATTGTAATAAATAAAAGTGTTTAAAAAGTTTAAAATTTTACGATTACCAAGTTATTTTGAAGCTTATTTGCGGACGAAGTATTTTTCACTATGTTTTTTTCACACTCAAATGCTCAATAATTTCCACTAAATGTTTTTTTTATAAGTTCTTTCTAAACCATAACTCAATTAAGGGTAGATGTACATTAGAAAATTCCAATTTAAATTGTTACTCAATATCTCGTAGCTTATAAGTTTTTCCTGTTGGACATGAGTTCAAACCCCTTTACTACTTCTTCTGGAATTTTTTTTGTTTTGATTAATGACAAACAGGATGATTAATTTCAAGCTGATCGAAAATTTATTTTCGTATCGAGAAAAAGAAAAGAAGGGTATCAAGAAGTTTACGGCGATAAAATCGATGATCACCCCTACGCAGATTTTTTTTGAAGTGAAGTGAAGACTCCGAAGACTTTTTAATTTTTTTTATTGAGTCTAGGATTCCTGTAAGGATGACAATAACTTTTGCATAAACAAATTAATTTCTGAGGGATAAAAATTATTATTTCTTGAGTCAGTTGAAAAATTATTTTTTCTCTGTCCAAAAAATATTTTACTGAGTCAGTTTCAAAATAAGTGTGTCAAAATTTCTTAAAAAGATTTTTAAAGATTACACAATTTTTTTTGGTAAGAAAAATATATATTTTAAATATTTTTCGTGTACATCTTTTGACACACAAAATAATTTTTTGAACTCACTTTTTCTCCCCTATTCAAATTCATTGAATAAGGGTTATCAATGAGCTTGGCATTGATTCCCGTTGTCTCAAACAATCGTATGAAGCCAAAGGCTTTAATCGCAAATAGGCTTGGGCCCTTTATGTTTGCACGGTATTTTGAAATTAATCAATTTTCTCTTCCTTTTTAATCGATTAATAGACTTTTAGTTGGATTCCCAGGATTGCCCAATAATCGATTAATTTTCTTCATTTAATCAATTTGTTAGCACAGATTCACCTAATCGATTATTTTCTTCAGTTTAATCGATTAATTTCTTACCTAATTTCAGGCATTTTCGCCTCTGTGTACCTTAATCGATTAATAGTTTCACTTTAATCGATTATTTTTATCTGGTGCATGTTCTGGCTTGCTCCAGCGGCTTTATTTTCCTTAGCCTAATTAATCCCTCATTCTCCTTCATTTCTAACACAACTCTTGCACTCCAATATCTTCATTGAGCTATATTCATTTCTGCTTCCATCTTCCTCATCAAATATATTATTTTGTGAGTTAGAAATATTTTATTGAATGCTAAAGATTTTGTCATCCATAGAGCTTTAATTCTTCAACACTACTTTGCTCAATTGTGTGAGCTTTCATTCTTGTGTTGTAAACTCAATCTCATTTGAGTGTTGTTCTTAAGACTTGTGTGACTCAAGTCTTGTTGTTGTAAGAAAGTGAGGCTTGTGTGATTCAAGTTCTCAAGTTGTACCGGTTTTTCAAGCACCCGTTGAAGCTTGAAGAGTAGTAGGACTTTCGAGAGAGTCTCTCGGAGGACTGGACTAGCCACGAGGTGGTGAACCAGTATAAATCTCGGTGTTCTTCTTTCCCTTACTCTCTTTATTTATTCCTGCGATTTTATTATTTCACACACGC